GTCAGCCTTGTGGATGAAATAAAGTTTCGTTTTGGGAAAAGGATTTAAAGTGCTAGAGGAAAAAAGATGTGCCATCTTCCCAACAACTACTTAAAATTTGGGCCAGGAGCTCTGAAAGGGGTAAAAGGCTAGAAAGAAAAATTTGAAAAGTCACCATGTGATAGTGAACTGAGTGATCTTTTATGAGCTCAGTGACTCTGAACATTGACAAGACAATCTGGTTTTAAATTTAGGTATTAAAGACTATTACTACAAAGTAAGTCAAAAGTTTCTGCATCATCAATCCCTACCACCGACAAATCCTGCAGCCTTTGGTAACGGCAGTTTTATCAACAGATACGTATTGGAAACACTGGTGGCGTGGTGGTGGTTAAGTGTTTGGCTGCTAACAAAAAGGTCAACAGTTCGAATCCACCAGGCGCTCCTTGGAAACCCTATGGGGCAGTTCTACTATGTCCTATAAGGTCGCTATGAGTTGGAATTGACTCGGCAGCAATGAGTTTGGCTTTCTGGTTTTACACATTGATGCAGAACATTGTTTCTAGGCTTACAATTCAAGCAGTGTGATTCAATTGATGTTTACAGGATTTATGATAATTAGACACCAGAATATCATGAAAAATGTTCAACTATGCGAGATAAGTTATCTATAATGTAAATGTCTACTATGTGTTAGGCACTCTGCACTGTTTACCATGTGTAATTCTCACAACAATCTGAAAGACAATTACTATGCTTATTTTATCAAGTATCCCCTTTCTCTTCTTCCTCATCAATTTCATTTTGCTAAATTCAATGGCTACTTTCATGTGTCCATCGTACTCGAGCATTCTCTGTAGCACTCCACAGTTTACCACTGAAACCGAGTGACCGAACTCTTCTTGAAACACTTCCTTCTCTTAACTACATGAACCCATAATACCCTGAAAGTTTTATGCCAAGATGCTCCTTTGCTGGCTCACGAGCCAGGTACTGAGACTGCTTCTCTTTGCTGTCTACACTGTCTTCCTAAGTAAACTCACTGGCTCCCATGACTTTAAATACTATCAAGATGAGTGGTTTGCAGAAGAGTGGTCTTTGCTTCAGAAGTATCAGCATCACCTGGGAACTAATTATATATGCAAGTTAACAGGTCTCATCCCAGACCTACAAAATCAGAAACTCTGGGGGTGGGGCTCAACAATGACTGTTTTAACAAACCCTCTAGGTGAAGCTGATGTAGGCTAAAGTTTGAAAACTGGCGATCTAGATTAGAATTTTTTACACTATTACTTGGTTATGAAATAAGTGGTACAACCAGCATTTTAAAAAATAAAATTGAATTAAAAAAAAAAGTTAAAATTCTTTCTCTGCTGTAAAGGCAAGTAATGTTTCATGAAATTTTGGTTCAATTATATATGCATATTTGTGTGTGTGCATCTATACCTAGCTTTTAAAATAAATGTCTGAACAAAATTACAAAGCCTGATCTATATGATGATTATATAAGTCAGTATTTGCATGTCTGGTTCATTCTCATCCTTTAGGTTTTATCGCAAATATCTTGGCCTTTCTTAACCATCCTACTTAACATTGCCTCCCCCAAGACATTTCTTCTCACACAATCCTGTTTTATTTCATTCATAGCATTATCAGTATTTAAATTATCTTATTATTTATGATATTGAATGAGTTTCAATGGAGCGTCCAGACTAACGCAGACTAGGGAGAAAGGCCTGGCCATCCACTTGCAAAAAATCAGTCAGTGAAAACCCTACAGATCACAACGATCCAATATCATTGTACATGGAGTCTCCATGAGTCAGGGACTAACTGGAGGGCAGCTAATAACAAATTGTTTTACTCTACCTCTCTGCCAGTTTGTCATACTGTGGTGACTTACGTGTTACTATGATGCTGATAGCTATGCCACCAGTATTTCAAATATTAGCAGGGTCACCCATGATGGAGAGGTTTCAGCAGAATTTCCTGACTAAAACAGACTAGGAAAAAAGACCTGGAGATCTACTTTCAAAAATTAGCCAATGAAAACCCTACAGTTCACATCAGAATACTGTCTGATATAGTGCTGGAATATGAGCTTCCTAGGTTGGAAGACAACAATGGACTCAAGCATACTGGCAATCATGAAGATAATGTGGGACCAGGCAGCGTTCGTTCTGATGTACATGGGGTTACCAAAAGTTGGAGCTGACTCAAAGGCGATGAACAGCATTGTTTTACCTGTTTATAATGCTTCACCCCACTAGAATATAAGCTAATAATAGGAGTGATCTTGTTCCTGCTGGGTTCCCACCACCTGGAATAGTGCCTGCCCCCACACAGTACCCACTCGATAAACATTTCTTGACTAGATGAACTTTATAAATAAATAACTTATCAAATCTCACCAAGCGCACCTGAGTTAGATTTTAGCTAACCTTTAAAACTGTGTATATATCCCGGTGATACCTCTATACAATCACCACTTCCTTGTGGGATTCCAGTCATTCACTTCATAGTCACATACCATGGGAATGTCACATAATCATACTGTAACCACTATAAAAAGAAATGCTAGTGCTGAGACATTACAAATGTGATAAAATGCTGAACCAATCTACTTTTAGTTTTAGATGGAAGAGCAGAGTATTTATTTAATAAGAGTTAAGGACAAAGAAAATCCTATGTGATCGATTTCAAAAGGATATACAAGAAGGCCAGAGGCTTTAGGTTTTCCTGTACTTTTAATGTTACCCATCTTAAAAAAAAAAAAACAGTTCAAACTCTCCAGAAAAAGGTTAATAGTAAATTCAGTGGGAAGTTAAGTGAAAATAGCAATGTACACTGTGAGGGAATATATTGGGATACATAATGAATGAAGAGGAAAGTCATATTCAGAGCCCAAACAGGTTTGCTGGAGAATCTGTGAAATGTCATAGTTAGAAGCTAACTCAGATGTTAGAGGTTTTTTTTCTTTACACCCAGTGTAAATCAGTGTCCTTTCTGAACTCCACTGATGCTGTGTATGTGTGTGAACACACACGGGCACATAAGCGTATAATTTTGGTCAAGTGCTGCTGTTCTGCACATCTTATGGCATAAAAGTGTTATTCCCAAAATAAGCCCAAATCACTGTGTACCTATGTATGCTAAACTAACAGGCTCCTAACAATGGGATGTATAGTAGGTGATGTTTACTGAAAATAGGCTCTGGAGTCAGAGTACCAGGTTTAAACCTCATTTCCACTATTTATCAGCTGTGTGACTTCTGATACATTCTTCAACTTCTCTGAGGCTCAGCTTGTATAAGGAACCCTCACAAAATTATTGTGTTGACTGAGTTAATAATACATATAAAAACCTTCGAATGGTGCCTGGTACATGGTAAACCAGAGCACTTACTAGGTATAACACTCCTTGTAGTAAGGTCTTCAAATGCTTTTCTCCTTTAATTCTCACAACAATCTTACCAGGCAGGTTATTTTAAGACCACCCACCCCCACCCCTTTATAAATAAGCAAGTGTGAGACAGAAGAGATTAAGTAACTTCTTCAAGAACTCGTAACCAGTAAGTAGTAGAACTGGGATTAGAATGTAGTCTAAGTCACATACTTAAGCCAGGTTTCCTAACAACTATGCAAATTCTGCCCTTTTAGCACACTAGAAATTATGAATAATCAACAACGTATCTCCAGTCTGCTGCAGCTCCGCTAATGTTCATATCAGACCAAGGGAGTATGTTATACACATGAACATACATATCAATCGTATCCATCACACGACCTCTCCAAAAAGGGACTGAAAACCAAGACACTACAATACATGTATCAAATTTTGTTTCCATGATTTTCTATCTTCCTTTCCAAGCTTGGATGACCTCGCCAAGAAAATATGAGCTATGTGTCATTCATTTTATAGCACACTCACTTAATACTGTTACTAAAAAGCAGTTAGTATTCAACAAAAATTTGTTGAATAAATGAAAAAAAAGTATGGAATGGCTCTGTAAAATTTCACAGTACAAATTAATTTTAAAAAATCAGCTTAAATATTGTTATTAACAACATAAAAGTTCATGCCTGTTGAAGACTCACTATGTGGCAGGCTAAATGCCTTATTTTGTTCATTCTCACCACAATCCTATGAAGTAGGTACCATTATTACATCCTTTTTATAGAATAGGTAGGCCATGTGTAAGGTCATATGCACAGTAAGTAAGTTCTGGAGCCAGGATTTTAACTCTTTCAATTTCTATATCAAATGCCTATTCTATATTTTAAAAGGGAAAACATTACTTAAAAAAGCTTTATTGAGATGAAATTCACATACCATAAATTCACCCATTTAAAATGTGTAATTCACTGGGTTTTAGTATCTTCACAGAATTGTACAACCATCACCACAATCTAATTTTAGAAACATTCCCGTCACTCCAAAAAGAAAGCTCATATCCATTAGCAATCAGATGTAACTATATATACTGTACATGCAAAAAAGAAATGCAAATTCCTTTAAATAAAGTCTCCACTAAATACATATATGATTGTGTATTTGATACAGCTAATGCAAGAGAAAAGCATGAAATAAATGCCAAAGGAGAAAATATGATTTAGTAGGCCTTTTGTAATTTTGCATTATCAGCATCACCATATCTTTGAGTAAGGCAGGTAATCAAGAGCTAACATCTACATCCAGTTCAGATTTTTATGGGTCAAACTTAAATTTCTAGAACTTTTAGCATTTTTTAAACTTACAATCAAATAATAAGATCAGGGTGAATCTGGGTAAGACAGTGTACACAAGTTTCCTTTGATATCCACTCTAATAATCTACCATTGTCAACGAGAAAAGCTTAGGAAAATAAAACCACAAGTTTAGGAGATGTAAATTTTCTTTTTCAGCATGATATGTTCATGCACATTTTCTAAGAACCCACAGTCCTATAATTGATAATTTACAACAAGGATTCAAGTCTAACATATTCTGCATTCCACCCTAAATAATGAAAAGGAACTCACTGTCCGTAAATGCAGGTTCTTCTTCATTTTCATCACTGTCATCAGAAGGAACTCTATAAGGAGGGGGTAGTTTCATTGGAGGTGGTGCATTTCCTCGCCTCTAAAAATGCAAAATGTGAGAAGGGATAATTGCCTTTGTACAATCCTCTTTCTCAACCACAAGCAGGATAAAAAGATAATCCACAAATATTTTGACTGCATCTAACTTTAGTCATATCAGCAGAACTTTAAAATAAATACTATTATCCTCTTATGCTTATGTTATGTAAAGGTGACTCTATAATGAAAACACACCAATGCAGAAAAAAGGAATTCGAAAGCTCAGCTTTTAAAACTGTTAAACTCCCAAGAAGAATGCACCCCTTTCCACAATGAGAAAGCCTATTATTATAAATATTTTCTCCACTGCTAAAATTTAATTTTATTTTTAACAAAATAATTCAAACAATATTCAAAAATAAACTTAGAGGAAAAACTATCTGATATGGTACTTTTACAATGATTTAAAACTTTTCTTCAGTTCCAGAAGTTATGGATTTTATTCTTTAAAAAATACTTGAAATACCAAGATTATCTAAATAAAAAGGTATTCATCTATAATTAGTTGTTGATCAACATACATTTCTAAAGTTCTCAAAAAGAAAATCTTTACGATGAATCATTTTCCATTTCTGTGGTAGTATTACTTAAATTTACATATCAAGTGACACAGCACATCAGTATTTAGTTGAAACAGACTTAATTAAAATAGAACAAAATCCTATGATCAGATTACCTTCACAGAATGGAGATATCTTCCTGAATGTTGAAAAAAATAAAACATGCCAAACTTTACAGTGAGATCCAAGCTGCTAAAAAGAATAGGAGCCAATAGATCCAAGCCCTCCACCATTGCCAAAACAACTGTTTTGAGATTGGTTTTGCTACAGTGTTTCAATATAATACATTCAATTAAGCTTTACAGAACAAAACCCACTAATGGCAGGATATACTTCAGTAAGTGGACAATAACCGGTCCATTACAGAAAGTATGTAATAAATTCTCCAAAACAGAAAACATTATCTGAGATTCAGAAAAGAAAGCACACACTCAAATTTACTGAAGTTAATATCTAGCCAAATAAGTACTTTATATATTTATAGAAAATCCAAAAAGAGATAAGTGCAAGAAGGATGAAGGAATATGCCAAAGAAGAAATGCTTATTAAACAGGAAAATACAGAAATGTGATCACTGTATCTCCTTAATTCTTGCTTGAAAAAGCTTAAAAGCGAAAGAAAGGGAGAGTAAAATGGCAAATGAACTCTTTTCAGTAAACCTTTTCCTCAGAACTACGTAGATGATTCTATGTCAATGACAACACTCACAACAAGGATAGCTAACTTTTAAAATAACATTAAGAAATGTGAATTCTCTTTATTAGCATTGTTTTGCTTTGGTTTTTTTTAATTTAAGAGGAAGCTGTTCGTTCAATTAATTTTTTAATTAACTCCTACCAATACTCTAGGAAAGAACACAGGATAAGCTTGTCCTGATCTCCAATAGTTTGAGTATGGTTGCCAGATACATGGGGCATTTTTCCAGTGCACATGAGACATGAGTGTGGGTAGGACCTGGCTCTCCCTATGGCAAAGAGGGCTAGAGCAAACTATACATAACTTTGTTGTTAGTTGGCATTGAGTAGATTCCAAATCATGGTAACCCCACGTGTGCAGAGTAGAACTGCTCCACAGGGTTTTCAAGGCTGTGACCTTTTAGAAGCAGATTGCCAAGACTGTCTCCCAAGATGACTCTTGGGAGAGTGGGTTCGAACTGCCAACCTTTTGGCTAGTACTCAAGCACTTAAACATCTGTGTTATCTGGGGATCTTTCCAGCACAGAGTTATAGTTGTTGTGTGCGGTCGAGTGGATTGAAACTCATAGTGACTCTAAGTAGGCCTCCATTAACTATTTGCTGAATGAGTAAACAACTGGTTGTCATTCACGCTGTTTCAATTCCCTGATTCAACAAAAGAGTTATGAAGTAGCAGCAGATCCATCCACCAACTGCAAAGCAGTTTCTCTCACCCCAACACCAGGAATAAAGTACACATAGGGCTTTCTAGATATGATGAAACACCAAAGCTTAGGTCAGGGATCAGGAAACTTTTTTTTTACAAGCGATGATATTTTAGACATATGGGCACCAGTGCCTGTTGCAACTACTCAACTCTACACTGTAACACAAAACCAGCCATAGGCAATATGTAAAAGAACAAGCATGGTGGTGTTCCAATAAAACTTTATATATAAAAATAGAGAGTGAACTGGATGGCCCTTGGATTGTAGGACCCCTGGTGTCATGGATTGAATTGTAGCCCCCAAAAATATCTGTCAGCTTGGCTAGATCATGATTCCCAGTACTGTACTATTGCCTACCATTTTGTCATCTGATTTGATTTCCCTATGTGTTATAAACCCTATCACTATGATATAATGAGATGGATTAGTGGCAGTTATATTGATGAGAACTACAAGATTAGATAGTGTCTTAACTCAATCTCTTTTGAGATCTAAAAGACAGAAGCGAGCAGAGAGACATGGGGACCTCATACCACCAAGAAAGCAGCTTCAGGAGCAGAACATGCCCTTTGGACCTGAGGTTCCTGAGCAGAGAAGCTCCTAGACCATGGGAAAAATGATGACAAAGACCTCCCTCCAGAGTCAACAAAGAGAAGAAAGCCTTCCCCTGGAGTTGGTGCCCTGAATTTGGACTTCTAGCCTACTGGACTGTGAGAGAATAAATTTCTCTTTGTTAAAGCTATCTACTTGTGGTATTTCTCTTACAGCAGCACTAGATAACTAAGACACCTGGTTTGCATGATTGACAGTTTAAGTGATTTAAGTGGTAAGAGCACTGGTAAATATCACAGGTGGAACTAGAACATAGCTTTTAGCACACTACAAACCAAGGTAAGACAACACAGGACTTGAAAATACATGTTTAGTAATTTAAAAAAAATGGGTGTAAAAAAAGACAAACTTGATCCACTGAAAACATTAAAAAAAATTTAAAACAACAAACAGTAGGAAAATTACCCAAGACTTGAAAATTAGACAATGGGATTACTGTATGATCTTTCAAATGTCTTGATTGCTGGGTATTACCCAGCATACCCAGTTGCTTCTCTAGGGATGTGTACTTTTTTTGACTTGCTCTTTATTTTGATAAGGATATTTTACAACTTTATAAGGGTAGATGTTAAAGTTTAGAAAACAGAGAGTAATGCAAATTATTTTAGTTCTATAGAAAAGATAACTTCAAAGGTTACAATTATATTGCCCTGTAAGACTAACTGGTTTTGTATCTGAATTAGGAGCTTACTTAACGATTCTCACTTTCAGCAATTAGAAACACTTCACTCTCTCCAATTCTCTCTGAACCGAGCTTACCATCTTGTTGATACCCTCGTTAATGAGTTAAATACCTGGTAGTTGGAGATTTTGTATAATTTTATGAATAGTGTTTTTATTTTTTCTTAAATTATACCTTGACAGTTTTAGAGGTTCCACTGAGAAGTTCAAGTATACTCAACCTTACAGAAAAAAATTCAGCTGTGATGCTATGAAAACCCTACAGAGCACAGTTCTATTCTGAAACACATGGGGTCACCATAAGTCAGAATCAACTCGATGGCAACTGGTTTGGTTTTTAGTTTATTCATTCAACAAATATATAATAAATGCCTTTCAGGTGTCAGGCACTGTTCTTGGCAATGCAGATAGAGTAATAATGATAATCTCTGCCCTTACAGAGCCCCTTTCAGATTTCACATTTTATGGGTAATTGTCCCCAAACTGCTTTAAAATGGAGCCCTGGTAGCATGGTGATTTAAGAGGTTGGCTGCTAACCAAAAGGTTGGCAGTCTGACTCCACCAGCTCCTTCCTGGAAACGCTATAGGGCAGCTCTACTCTGTTCTATAGGGTCGCTGTGAATTGGAACTAATTCGACAGCAATGGGTTTGGTTTTGGTTTTTGGTGCTTTAAAATGGCAGGTGATGAATTCTATCCTGTATGTCATGGCCTACTAGAAAGCAAACTACAGGAGGACAGGGAATTTTTGTCTTTAATAGCTTTATTGCAGTATATTGAAGTATAATTAACATATAAAAAACTGCACACATTTAAAGTATACCTTTATAATCCATCACTACATTGAAGATAATGAACATAATTATCACTTCCAAAGTTTTCCCGGGTCCCTTTGTAGCTCTTCATTCTCACCCCTTCCCCCAGCACCCATCCAGGCAACCACTAATCTGTTTACTGTCTGTCTTAGTTATCTAGTGCTGCTATAGCAGAAATACCACAAGTGGATGGCTTTAACAAAGAGAAATTTATTTTCTTACACTCTAGTAGTTAGAAGACTAAATTCAGGGCACCAGATCCAGGGGAAGGCTTTCTCTGTTGCCTCTGGGGGGAAGGTCCTTGTCATCCATCTTCCCCTGGTACAGGAGCTTCTTAGCACAAAGACCTCGGGTCCAAAGCACATGCACGCTCCTGGCTCTTCTTACTTGGTGGAAGCTTCCAGAGCCAAGGTACTGTCTTGGTCATCTAGCACTGCTATAACAGAAATACCACAAGTGGATGGCTTTAACAAAAAGAAGTTTATTCTCTCACAGTCCAGTAGGCTAAAAGTTCGAATTAAGGCCACCAGCTTCAGGGGAAAGCTTTTTCTCTCTGTCGGCTCTGAAGGAAGGTCCTTGTGATACATCAGTCTTCCCTTGCTCTCGGAGCATCTCAGAGCAGAAACCTCAGTTCGAAAGGACGTGTTCTGATCCTGGCACTGCGTTAATGGTGGTATGAGGTCCCTGTGCCTCTCTGCTCATCTCTTTCTTTTGAGAGTGAGGCAGCTTGGCTTCCCGTATTCCTTGTCTCTTCAGCTTCTGCTTCCTGGTTCCTTGGTCTCTAGGCCCCTTGGGCCTCACGCCCACATCTGCCGTGCTGGGATAAGTGTTCCAAAGCTCAGTAGCTCCACCCATAAGTGCTTGGAGGCACACCACTCTGCCAGGAAGCCTCTTGCGCACAGGCACTTAGCTCTCTTGCTCCATGGGTCGGCT